GAAGGGATATATGCCTTGCCCTGCGCTGTGAAGGACCCACAGTTCTGTGAGAGAGGGCAGCAGCGAGAGCAAGTGACAGGCAAACAGAAGGCCCGAGGGTCAGGGTGGGTCTCCTGGCAGGGCCATGCCGATGGTATCTGCATTTGCGCTTCCTTCTCATACAAAGGGAAGCTGGGTCTGGGGCCAAGAGAAGAGGGAGACCTGTTAGGAGGGCTCTGTGGCACTGAGGGGCATGAATCAACATCAAATGAAATGGTAGGAAAGGGAAAGGATTTAGGGGTAACTGGGAAGTAAAGTTGCCAGAGCTTGGTGGTGGACAGGATGGAGGTGGTGAGGGACAGTCAAGATGAGCTTCCATTCATGATGAGGTGGGGCCCCAGTGGGGAGCAGCACGAAGGAAGTTTCAGGAAATACTGAGGACTCTGTGTTTGGAAACAAGCAGTCTGAGAGAGGTGGCTCTCTGCATGTGGATGGCACTGAAACACAAGCCATGTGCGTGCAATGGGGTGGCAAGAAGTGAGGAGAGGCAGTGTGGGACAGGGGCTCCCGGGAGAGAGGAAAGGAAATGGAGGTGCAAACCCAGGAACCCCAGGGGAGCATGTGTCCCAACCTCAAGAACTGTCTGGTAGCTGGGGATATCGGGTGCCCAAGCCCAGCCCCTTCTATGCTCTAAAGGGTAAAGGGCTCTTTTGTTTTCTCAACTCCTCCCTTCAAGGCACCTTCAAAGTGCATGGGGACTAACTTGGGCACATGGATATGTATTCAGAACACACTTAAGGGGTTTAACTTCAGTAAACTCAGCCTAAGTTAGCCCAAATTAGGGATTTCACAGCACTGACTCTAGAATAATGAAGAAAAATCTGTCTCTGTCTAGCTACCAGTAAAGGCCAACCCCTTCTCATTTTCTCTTGGACACAGCGTGGACTCACTCCATTCAATGACAGTATGGGGACACACAAAAAAATCCTACCAGAATCTTAATAAAAGCTGGAATATCTATAATCATGTCCACCCAGAAGGTACCCGGGTCTCCTTTGTTTTTAGCTCAGCAAGTGCTCAGACTGTCAAATAGCGAATAATCAGCAGACTCCAAAGCAAAGGAGTGACTCACAAGGCCAAAAGCTGATGTGAGTACAAAGAGCCCCTAACCCATTTCAGAAAGACTTAAGTAACTTGAAAGAGAAGTTACTCAAGTATCAAGAAAACTTTCCTGATGTCTGAACTCTACCAGAGCTCAAAGGCAATTACTGAAAAAAAGTTAAGCTACTTATAAAGTTTTTAACAGGGCCTCAGAGGATGCAAGGTTCTGGGGCACGCATACCCCGCTCTCTACCAGGCCTGGTGACCCAGATGGCAGAGTGGGCTGACTGTTTTCAGTGCCAGCCGCCTTGGTCACTCAGCAGCAGGGAGCAGAGAAAAGATGACTCCACATTCCTCAAAATGCTGACTTCATAAAGTGAAAATCTGCCACCCAAAACTATTCACAAGGGTCCACGTGCTTTTAAAACCATTCTGCCCGATATAAACAGCTAAAAGTGTTATGAGTGGTTTTAAGACATAAGTGTTTGAGAAATAAATTCAGTAAATCCAGTCACTCAGCAAAATACTAAAAAAGCTGAAATACTGGCAAACTTCTGATTCTCAGTAATGATTAAAGGAAATATTCCCATATAAAAAGCCAAGTGTATTCTATGTAAGAAACCTGTAGTTGATCCTTAAGCTTTTAACAGATTGGAAACTCCCTAAAATGTTAATCTATGCGTATTTGCTATTTTTTTTTTTTCTTCAAGAACAGTGTTCCTTTGAACTGGAGCTGGAAGAAAAAAAAAAAAAGGTGTTCCTAAAACATATTTTTGGTAATCATACAACCAAGTAAGAAATGGAATCCTGAAAGAGCTTCCGGGACTCAGAAGTGCAGCCCAGGCCGGGCACAGTGGCTCACACCTGAAATCCCAGCACTTTGGGAGGCCTGGGCAGATTACCTGAAGTCAGCAGTTCCAGACCAGCCTAGCCAACATGGTGAAACCCTGTCTCTACTAAAAGTATAAAAATTAGCCAAGCATGGTGGCACCTGCCTATAATCCCAGCTACTCAGGAGGCTGAGGCAGGAAAATGGCTTGAACCTAGAAGGCAAAGGCAGAAGTGAGCCAAGATTGCACCAATGTACTCCAGCCTGGTCAACACACACCCATACCCACACACAGAAATGTAAATGGCTTGAACCTGGGAGGCAAAGGCAGAAGCGAGCCAAGATTGCACCAATGTACTCCGGCCTGGTCAACACACACACACACACACACACACACACACACACACACACATAAAGGTGAAACTGGGCTTATTTGGTACCAGTAATCATACAGGAAGCAATGCCAAATATAAAATGGGGTTTGGCTTTGCTGGGGCTATATTTGTATAAATGTTATTGGTATGCTCCAAAATCATGTAAAATTCCTACAATTATAATGTATCTTACTGTATGTTATCAGTAATAACTGTAATTGTTGTATTAAATTATCATTGTGTCACAGAGGTAACAAATTTCCTCATCAACTGTGTCTTCAACTATGGCTACCCTAAAACTTTTTCTCAACTATAAACAATTGTCTCCTTTTAATCCTCTTTAAAAGCATTAAAAACTACAATGAGGTGGCTCATACCTGAAATTCTGGAACTTTGGGAGGCGGAGGCAGGCAGATCACGAGGTCACGAGATCGAGACCATCCTAGCCAACATGGTGAAACCCCATCTTTACTAAAAATACAAATAGCTGGGCAAGGTGGTGCGTGCCTGTAGTCCCAGCTACTTGGGAGGCCAAGGCAGGAGAAATTGCTTAAACTGGGGAGGCGAAGGCTGCAGAAAGCTAAGATCCTGTCACTGTGCTGCACTCCAGTCTGGGAGACAGAGTGAGACTCCGTTTCAAAAAAAAACGCTCTAAGAGGTGGCTGAAATACTTTGGAGATTGGGACATCAGAATAAAGAAAAAACGTTCAGGACGGTTAAAGAGCTAAAATGTCTATTAATATCAAGCAGGACAGAAATTAACTGCATAAACTGAACTAATAGGAGACTGAAGTTATCTAACTTTTTGCTTAAAATGCTGCTAATCCTTTGTTTTGCTTTACAAAGTTAATAAACAAAGTTATTAACAGCTTTTAACAATTAAATAAAGTATACTCCTATGTATGAACAAAACTTGGAACATACTTGTTTCTCTCTACCTAATTTCTTCAGAATTTGGAAACGATCTGTGTGTTTTTTGAGACCGAGTCTCACTCTGTCACCCAGGCTGGAAGGCATAATCTTGGTTCACTGCAATGTCTGCCTCCTGGGTTCAAGCGATTCTCCTGCTTCAGCCTCCCAAGTAGCTGGAACTATAGGAATGTGCCACTATGCCTGGCTAATTTTTGTATTTTTAGCAGAGATGGGGTTTCACCATGTTGGTCAGGCTGGTCTCAAACTCCTGACCTCAGGTGATCCACCCCGCCCGGCCTATTTGTATGTATTCTTAATTTATGGTAATATAGTTATTTGCTTAAGTACAATATAAATTTGTTTTCTTTTGTAACAGAACAGAAATAAAAAACTGGTTATCTGCGGTGAGCAGAGATTGTGCCATTGCACTCCAGCCTGGGCAACAAGAGTGAAACTCCGTCTCCAAAAAAAAAACAAAACAAAAAACAAAAAACACCCCAACTGGTTATTTTACCAAGGCTTTAATGGAATGGTATGCTCTCCTTTAAGGAATCCAACTTAACCAATAAAGCCTTTAAAAAACTGGCCTCATATTCTGTGTACAGTTCCTGGACAGGGTTCCTTATCTGTGTAAAAAAATGTCACTTTCTAACAGGCCCAAAACCCCATTATCTTGGAGCTTCAAGAGAAGAGGAATTTACCCAACTCCTAAGTATTTAATGGTACATATCCATAGCTGGGCTTGAGTTTAAAAAGGTATTACCTCAGATTCCTTCTATGGAATGAACTTCCATCAAAGTCCCTTTAAAAGGCCTACATAAAAAATTATTTTTCTTGCTGCACTATATACAAATAATTAGGCTAAGTATAATAAACCAAACCAGTCCTACCATAATTTGTCTTTTAATAAAAATGGGAAGCTAAAAAAAAAGCTTCAAAAACAGTAGTATACCAAAATGTTTCCAATTTTTTCCTTTTTCTATTCCTTTTTCCTAATTAGAAATCACTGAAACCCAAGCTGTGCTTTCCTAAAGCCCTATAAACTGAAGACTAAACTTTTGAAGAAAACAGCAGCAACCTACTTATGTGTGTTGCTTGTTGCAGATGATTATGTTTCAGCAAGTGCTGTCTCTAAGCCCCCAAAACAGAAAAGTGCTACTGGGAACAAATCGACCTCTTCCACTCCGGCACCATCTTCAGTGCCAGATAACAACAAACCTCTCTCAGCAGGAAACAGCCAGGAAAGATGACAGTGCCCCATCTCCCTATGATTCTCATGATAAATAAATACACAAGCATGATAAAACATTACATGCAAATTGACAGCGGGGACTGTGGCAGGCCAGGTCTCCCCAACACAGGCCTCCATAACAACTGTTTTAGTACTGACTGAGTAGTTAAGTTAAATTAAAAGCCAGTGCCCTTATACAAAGGCTAGGATGTAAGAAAGTCCACCACAAGTTTTGCCTAGGCCTTTCCTGGGTCTTAAAACAATAAAATAATGAAGATATTCTTAACACGACTCGTTTAGGATTAAAGAAGTTTCACCGGAGTCTAAAAAAACTCCCCAAACCTCCGTGATTTTAGCATAAGTCAAAGGAAGGGTTATTACTCCAGCACCTAAACCTATTTAAATTAAATTAAGTAAATTTACTGAGGCTCCAGAGGAAGGTCTCCAAGACTCGAACCTTAGTCATAGATTAAAAGAAGTTAATCACTTGCATCTTTAGATAAATGCACACTTATGCATAGACATATAACTTAAAAAGTATATAAACTCTAAAAAAATTTGTAATTTTAAGTTGGTCTGGCAGTAATTTCCAGGCTTTCTCTATGCAACTGTTGCAGAAATAAAAACTCTCTTCCTCCTCAGTCATCTGCATCTCATTACCAGGCCATGAGAAACAGCGGCCCAATCTTCAGTTTGGCCCAGGAACAACTGCACTCCAGCCTGGGCGATAAGAATGAAACTCCGTCTCAAACAAACAAACAAAAAGAAGTGCAGTCCAGTTGGAAATCAAGTCTCTAGGGGTGGTGGGTCTCTGAGTGGTCAGGGTATGTAGCAGGGTCACCCACCTCCGTCCATGTGCTTCAGCGCCTTTTCAGCTTCATCTGGATTCTCAAACTCTACGTATGCAGAGCCTTTGGACAGATGGGGATGCATCCTTTCCACCGGCATGTCAATCATTTTAATTTTCCCATACGTGGAAAATATCTCCATGATGTGATCCTAGAGGGAAAGAAGCGTCACTTGAACTCCCAGCTTCCAGTTAGCCATGTCAGATGCAAAGAAAGTTCACCATATCATGACTAAAACTTTGGCAGGGTAAAACAATCCATCCAATGAGCACCAGTGTCATTCTGGTATACATTTCCTAGATACGTGTATTAATGGTCCACTAAGAGAACTAATCAGTGCTGTATGCAAAGCAGGTACCACCACCCCAGTCCTCCAAAAGATTATATTCTATTAATTACAGATTTACCTGCCGGCACAGGCCTGCCTGTCCACAACCATGGCCCACCAGAGAGATCCATGATCCTTACCTTGGTCACATTCCTGGTGAGTCTCCCAATGTGTACTTTGGTGGGCTTAGGGGATGGGCTCCGCCTCTTCCTCTCCTTTTCATCTCTTTTAGGTGGTTTGGATCTGATTCAGAAAACAGAACACCAGAAACAATTTCTGTCAAGTCAAAATGTATTAGATTTGTTTTCGGCAGGCCTTATCAGATTGTATGACACTTTTCCTAAGGAAGTTCACGTACATAATTCCTGTCTCAGAAATCCTATCAAGGCAGAAAGACTCCTTTGGGGTCACTTTTATAACCCCAGTGGTAAATCTCTAGCTCCCATCTTGTAATCTTTAGCTCTCAGGCATGGGGAACTCACTTGGAGCGGGAGCGCCTTCTATTGTCGTGTCTGCGCCGAGAAGGACTTGGAGAGCCGGAGGAGCTGCTGGAGCTGGAGCTGCGGGAGGTGCTAGAGCTTCCTGAGCGGCTGGATGCTGAGGAAGAGCTGGAGCCACTGCTTGAGCCAGTGCTGGTGCTAGAGCCTGAGCTGGAGGTCGAGCTGGACCGAGACCTGAGGGCAAGATAAGGGGTCACAACTACCACACGCCAAGTCTCACAGTACAGATGCCTCCTCCAAGTCTGTTGTGCTCCCCCCAGGAGGAAACTGCTTTCCTTAGTGTGGAAAACATCACTCCCGTCCCATCCCATTGCCCAGCAAACCAGAGCCCTAGGTGTCACACTGTGCAGGGAACAGGACAGAGGTGATGGGCTGCTTTCTACCCATAGAGAAGCCTTTCCTGCTGGGAGGTAAAGGAGTCTAGCAAAAGTCAGAACTGCCAACTCAGGCTGGGAAGGCAGCTGCTGGCTGATGCTGACTCAAGCTCAGTTGTCTTTTCTTTTGAGACACGGTCTCACTGTCACCCAGGCTGCAGTACAATGGCATGATCTCCGTACGCTGCAGCTTCAACCTCATGGAATCAAGCCATCCTCCCGACTCAGCCTCCTGAGTAGCTGGGAGTACAGGTGTGGGCCACCATGCCTGGCTAATTTTGTTTATTTCCCTCAAACTCCTGGGCTCAAGCTATCCTCTTGCCTCCGCCTCCCAAACAGCTGGGACTACAGATGCATGCCACCATACACAAGTAATTATAAAAACGTAGAGACAAAATCTCGTTTTGTTGCCCAGGCTGGTCTTGAACTCCAGGCCTCAAGCAGTCCTCCTGTCTGGGCCTCCCAAAGTGTTGGAATTACAGGAATGATCCACTGGGCCTGGCCAATCTGCCATAAAGTAGGGTTTCTACTAACAATCAGAGGATGTGATTTATTTGTAAATAATCAAGAAAACTGGAGCCATCTGTGGGAAGTGAGGGTGTGGCTGTGGCACAGGTCCCTCCAGGCTCCAGGCTAGCGCGCCCACCTGGTACTGCTGCTACCACTGGAAGCACTGCGCCTCTTTCGGGTTTTGTCTCTGCCGCGATCCTTCTCACTCGACTCCTTGGTGGCCCCTTTATCTTTTGAACGATCCTTGGACTTCTCATCTGAGCGGTCTTTGCGTTTGGTAGGAGAAGGAGCCCTGGATGGTGAGGAAGAGTGTGAGACTGTGTGCTGCTCTGACCGAACCCAAATAGCACAACCCAAAAAAGGGGATCAGCAGGGCCACAGAGATCCCAGGTGATCACAGAGCAAAGTGGTCTGTGGCTCAGAACACTCACTGCAGAATGCACAACATTCTCAACCTTCCCCTTTATGCGGGTCCCTAGCAGTAAGCACCCCCAAAGTAGCACTAGAAAAATCTTACAGAAGGATTACCTAGTGCTGGACTTTTTATTATTTTCTTTGACTCCTAGCAAGCTCTTCTTTTTCACTCCTGATAAATCCATTCTCCCCTTCTGAGGTGTTCAAAGCAGCAATGACGGCCTCACTTATCTGAACTCTCACTTCTAACTGGATTCTGAGAAACGATCCCTAATTGATTGCAATTTACGCCAAAGAGCAGCCTAATAACAAGATAAAAGGATTTAAAGAGTGAACGAATTGGCAAGGCAGCAAGTCTACTTTGCAGTCAAAAGCTGAGCATACAAGAAGGCAGCAAGGGAGCACAGTAAGCAGTGTGTGTCCACACAACCAGGAACACATGGGGACAGTACCCACTTACTCATGGAGGTGTCTCTACCCCTCTACAGGAGGCAAAGGCAAAACTGTCACCCCAGTTTATCTTTTTTCTTTTTTTAAAAGAGACAGGGTTTCACTATGTTGGCCAGGCTGGTCTCAAACTCCTGACCTCGTGATCCACCCGCCTTGGCCTCCCAAAGTGCTGGGATTACGGGCACAAGCCACCTCTACCAGCCAGTTTATCTTTCTTAAAAAAATGGAGGAGATGAGCCGGGCGCGGTGGCTCAAGCCTGTAATCCCAGCACTTTGGGAGGCTGAGGCGGGTGGATCACGAGGTCAAGAGATCGAGACCATCCTGGTCAACATGGTGAAACCCCGTCTCTACTAAAAATACAAAAAATTAGCTGGGCATGGTGGTGCGTGCCTGTAATCCCAGCTACTCAGGAGGCTGAGACAGGAGAATTGCCTGAACCCAGGAGGCGGAGGTTGCGGTGAGCCGAGATCGCGCCATTGCACTCCAGCCTGGGTAACAAGAGCGAAACTCCATCTCAAAAAAAAAAAAAAAAAAAAAAAAAAATGGAGGAGATGGTGGGGACCATCACTGTCATTTTACAGGCTGAACAATTTAGTTTTCACCCACAAGTTTCATGAGCTCCCTGCAGTCTTTTGAAAATGCCATGGCACCACATTCACATGCAGAACAGGGAAAAACCTAACTCAAGGGTGGTCTCCAGACAGGATTAGACCTCCTGTTTTATTGCAGCAATTTCCTTTTGGGATACACTGGATAATACAACTGGAAGCAAAAACCATTTCAAAAGTGACTAGTACCAGCATCAAAACACTTAATACCCATATGCAAACAGATAAAATGTACTGCATGAACATTTAAAAAGCAGAGGAACTTTAAAAAGTAGTTATTGCAAACACTGTACTTTAGTAATATGCACATTGAGTGTGTAGGGGAAAACACTTGCAAGCCTGCAATTTACTTCAAATATAGCAGAAATGTAACATAAACTTTTAAGTGTGTTTTTTTTTTTGAGAGGGAGTCACCAGGCTGGAGTACACTGGCACGATCTCAGCTCACTGCAACCTCTGTCTCCTGGGTATAGGTGATTCTTCTGCCTCAGCTTCCTGAGTAGCTGGGACTAATGGTGTATGCCACTACGCCTGGCTAATTTTTGTATTTTTGGTAGAGAGAGGGTTTCACCATACTGGCCAGCCTGGTCTTCAACTCCTGACTTCATGATCAGCCCACCTTGGCCTCCCAAAAGTGCTGTGATCACAGGCATAAGCCACCGCACCCGGCCCTCAAGTGGTCTTTTGTATAATTCAACCTTCCTATGTGCTTAAGTTTTTCAAAAATAAGATGTTGGAGAAAAAAAGTTGGCACTGAAGTTGCGTGAGAGACTACCTACCATGTAAGTTTAGCAAAATGCCTGGACTGCAGCATGTGCTCTAATAATGGTAACAAATTACTCAAAAACAAACTACTAATAAGTTATGGGCTCTATTTTAGAGGAACTGCTGCCTTCAGTATTTCCAGCCAGGTCTGCACAAACTGCATGAGTTTTTAAGTGAAGCTCTCAGGATGTGTCTCAGCTACTTCTGTCTCACCTTCTCCAACAGCCTGTACGTAAGCAGGGCACAGCACACTAATGGGGTCCTGGTTTCCCCATGCAGAAATGCCAGGGGTGCTTCAAAACAGTGCTGAAAACATGTTCTGACCCAAGAAAGAAGAGCACCTGGCTTTGAGCTGTCAAATGAGCCATGGAGGGCCAAAGATCACCTTTGCTGCTCTTGTCCACGGCATGTTTTGTTTCAGAACAGTAAGGTTCTGCAGACACCCCGCAGGCAGTGCCTGGTATGGCTGGTGTCCTTAGACAACCAGTGAGTATCAGAGTATAATTCCCAGTCTGGAGCCAGAAGGCCTGGGTTTGATTTGAAATTTTACTGTGTAATTTTGAACAGATCACTTATCCTTTCTCAAGTTTCTCATCATCAATATGGTGACAACTAGAATTCCAACCTTATAGTTATCCAGGGCATTAATCAAAGGCTCAATAAATGTTAGAAGTAAGGTTTGCATCTTCACGTCCAGAGGCTCCTTCCCCCCACAGACACATGTCTCCAAAGTCACAAGTAATTTCTGAACTCTCAGCAGGGTTCCTGCACCCACCCACCTTAGGATCATCTGCAGCAGCACTGTCCAATAGAAACAGTGTGAGAAGCCACAAGCAGAATCTCAAATTCCTTAGTAGCCACGTCACAAAAATGGGTGAAATCAATTTTTAACATTTGACACACATCCAAAATATTTTTCCAACAAATAATCAACATAAAAATCTAAAGGTTTACTTTTTTTTTTCCAGAGTAAGTCTTCTAAATCTGGTGGGTGTTTTAACATCTCAGTTTTGATTAGCTGCTGTATTTCAACATGCTCAGTAGCCACATGTGGCCAATGGCTACTTCACTGGACAGTGCAGATCTAGAGTGGAGGTCACACCCGCATATTCCAGCCCCACCCCCCAGTCCTAAAGATCTGCCCAAATGTACTTTGTGAAACCAAACACTGCTACTTTGATTCGCTTTGTGAAATCAAAGTGCACCATTCTTAAGCACTCTAAGAACCACTGAGAAAGCGGACGCTTTGCTGGGTGCGGTCGAATGCTAGAAAGCAAAGGTTGAGGTTCTCTGTTCACACAAGTTCAGGTACCGGCTCAGGACCTCGGTTACCTCCCCCATCCTCCGGAAAGGTGCGCGTCCAACAGCCAGAGAGAGGAGAGAACAATTAGTTAAATCTCGAGAAGAGGGCGTTTCGGCACAAATCTTCTGAGCACCTTCCCCACTTAAAAGTACATTTCAGGCACAGTTCATGCGAAATCAAGACAAAAAGCCTACTCCACGTTTCTCCTCCATCAACCTTAACCTTCCCGTATCCACCCTTCTGGGGTAACCCATCAAACTGAGCCAGGCCACCGTGCTCGGTCCATAGTGGGCCATATCCCCCAGGCCTAGCGCCGAGAATTGCACACGGGAGCCCGGGAAACGTTCGCGGAGTGCATGTTGCATTAATGCCTCCGAAGGAGGGATCGGCCAGCCTGCCACTGTATCCCACAAAGAAACTCCGCCGGCACCGGCCCAACACGCCGACCTCGCCGCTCCCCGTCCGCGTTCACTCACAACTCCCTCGTCCAGGCGCCGGGCCGCGAGCGCTTCTAGGGCAGGGCCTGGCGTTGGGGGCCTGGGTCTCCGGCCCAGCAGGAGGGCCCCAAGGGCGGAGGCCGCGCTCCCCGCTGCTCAGAGTCCCACGGGCCTGGTTGGGCCGCCGCCGAGCGGACGAAGCAGAGGCGCCCTTCCGTCTGCCGCGGCCCCGACCACTTCCGGGCCACGGCCACGACACCTCCCACCCCGCCCACTCCGGGCCACACTCTTTCTTTTCAGAGTCCGCACCAGGCCGCCAGGCTGCCGCCGCACTGCGGAGCTGGGGAGTGGACCACCTTCACGATGTTTCCTGCCGGGCCTGACGGGCAGCCCCCAAAGCTCGGATGCGGTCGGATTCCGCCCCAACTTACATCTTCCCGCCGCCGACACCTCCTCCTGCTTTTCTCAGCCGCTCAAGCCGGCTCCGCTCTGACGTCAGAGTTAAGGAGCGGGAAGACGCTGCCGTCCGGCGCGCAGCGATGACGTAAACGCCTGGGCCAATGGGCGCGAGCGGTGAAGTGTTAAAGAGTCAAGGCAGTGTGGGTGAGCGGCGTTGGAGCCTTCGCGGTGACTTCCCGCCGGAAATGTCTCTGTGACTGACCCGGCCGGTTGCACGCTTGCTGGAGCGGGCACAGGGGTAGCCTGCTGAGGCTGGGAGGGCCGCGCGATGACCGAGGCTCCTCCTTTGGCGCGGAGAGGGTTAACGCGGCCGTGCCCGGTCCCTTTCCTTGCGCGGATGCACTGGGCCCTCCTAGGCCTACCTGGCCCCTAACACCGGCCGTGGACACCGGACGCTGGGCTCCGGGCCCGGCTGTGCCGCCGCGGCGGGGTAGTCATACAAGAAAGGCGCGCAGGCTCTGCGGGGTTGCTTGGCGCGACGTGGGGACCCGCAGGCTGGAGGCAGCTCGGAGAGATGGGCTGGGGCAGGGCGTGCGTTCGTGTGGTCAAAACCTACTGGTGGCGTTTGGGGTGCCCGCGTGGACGCGGCCTCCACGCAGGTGGAGCTCCACCGGGTGGGCGCGGCAGGTGGGCAATGTGGGCAGGAAGACCGACGAGCTGGAGGGTAGGAGATGGGATGCAAAGGCGGGCGTCTAGGGGTGGTGACCCTGCCGCTGAGACCCGAGTGGAAGGGTGCGTCTGAGACCCGAGTGGAAGGGGGAACAGCAGGGGCCGAGCTTCTCTGGAAGCAGGGAAGGGCCTGCGCGAGCTTCGCGGCGGCAGCACGGAGCTTGTGAACGGCGCAGCGCCGCGGCTTCATTCAGCTGCGGGTGCACGGTCCGGGCAGGGAGAGCCCAGAGGTGGCGGCGCCTCTGGCTGGGACATAGGAGGGGGTGACGCTGTAGGGGCCCAGGCCCAGGCGCAGACCCAGGCGGGAGGCTCCGCACCAGCGCCCCAGACTGAGGGGCAGGTTTTGTTCACTGCTGCGCCTGGCAGGCAGTCGTTGCCCTGTGATTTGTGGAGGGATTGACCGTGCACTCACCTTCGGACTTTGAACAGCTTCGTGGCAGCAAGGATGGGAGAAGGGAACAGATCCAAGCAGATCTTTGGGAGGAGAGAACCAGCATGACTTGGAGACTTTAGATGTCGGAGCAAAGGTGCAGGGTGCAGCTTGGTGACCTGGAGTGAGTGGGTGGATGGAGATAGTGAGGACGTGGTCTGCTATCATTGCCCTGTTTCCTGTGTGGGAAGCTAGTTCCTGCTGACTTCCTGGCTAGACTGACTCCCTCTGGCCCTGTGCAAGGGTCAGGTGTGCCCTTGACCCTTCACCCTGGGCTAAGGGATGTCCAAGGAGTTGGGGACAAAGGCTGCTGGGAGGAGGAGCCACCTCCCGGGTCCACTGCTCTAAGTCACCAGTGTGTTCCTGTGGGTGGAGGTTGGCAGGCCCATCAGTCTGGTTTGGGTACCCCTGTTGGATTTGGGTTTGATGACATGTAAGTTAGATTCTCTGCATTACTGTCACACCTGCTGTGGCCAGGCACCGAGGGGTACGTGAACAGAGGGGCAGACCTTCTCTGCTGAAGGAGCCCCAGAGTCAGTGTTGGGGAAGGGGGCAGTCTTGGTGCCTCAGGCAGGCAGCTGGTAGAGTTCTCTGAGGTGGCAATGAAGTCCAGTGGTCAGAGAAGTGCTGGTGCTGAAGGGCCCAAACCCAGAGCCCATGCCCAGCGCCTCACTGACACCTGACAGGGAGAGACAGCCTGGTGACCCCACATGACATGGGTTTGGGGAGACACAGCACCAGCTGGGCTGACAGCACTCCCCCTACTGGTTTTTAATGCTCTGCAGTAATTGCATTTGGCCTTCGAATAAGCTTTCACACATTTTATGTTAAATCTAAGAGTATAATTATTCAGACACTTATGAATTTAATCAAATTTGTTTCTAAATATTACTGATTTTTGTTATGAAATGTGCCATCAGTTGTTGAGCTTTGCAAATTGAGCATCTTGGCTTTTGCCATTTTGAGGATCAGCAGAAGCATGTTTGGAAGAAATGTGAGAAAATAAAACTCAGGAGCCCACCCGACCCTACCCTTCTGGGAGCTCAGCCCCAGAGCTAAGCTGCTGAGGGCATGGAGGCTGAGGGCAGTGGAGCTGGGGCCTCTGGAGCCTCAGGGGCCCTGGTTTGCTGGAGAGGGCGGGCAGGGCTTCGTGGACAGGGCGTTCGGCAGTGGCCAGAGCCCTGCAGTGCGGGGCACAGGTTTCCCGTGGGCTCTGGTCACAGCTCTGAGCCCCTCCCCTTGCCTTCCCAGAGCTCAGGGTTACCTGCTGACAGTTTGGGGTGGCTCTGTCTTTGAGAGCATGCTCTTGTGAAGGCAGAATGTCCTCCCTGCCCGCATCCTCTGCGGCCTGGTGGCTTGTGCAGTGCCTGCTTTCAGAGGCTGGTGGCCTGTGACACTGAGGGTTGCGGATGGGCTGGGTGGTGGTGCAGGTCATGGTGGGTCATGAAGTAGCTTTGGGTGGGTATTGCATTCTCTTGTAAACCACAGCAAGGAAGCCCTTTTACCCTTTACTAAAACCTGGCTCTGTACCAAGGCCACGTGCAGCCCAGTCAGGTGGACAGGGGGTTAACGACTTAATCTGGGGGAAGCATCAGAAGAGGAGCTGTGCCTGCTGAGAGGCGGGTCGCCACAGCCTGGCTCCTGTCTGGAGAGGGTGGGGCCAGGGGAGGTGCTAGCCAAGTCTGTTGGAGTGGCCAGACTGGGTCTGAAAGGGCCTGGTGCTGGTGTGGGGTGAGCTGGTCTGTTGGGATAGTATGTGGTTCATTGAGGCCTCCCTGGCTCCAGGTTTGCATGTCTGAGGAGTGGGTATCATCAGGGCCTGCAGCCCCTCCAGCAGGCACATCTGGAGTCTCCCATGGTTGGGAGCCTGTGCTCATCAAAAGCTCAAAGCTCCTCCATTTCTGCCATGAGGAAGTCAAGGATGGTGACCGTGAGCCGCCTGGGATGTGAGCTGCCAGAGACTGGGGTGCCTTGCAGGGCCTGGGAGGCTGGGCCCATGGCTGGATGAGCCTTGGTAAGGCTGTGGTATTGCCTGGGCCAGGCGGACCCAGGCGCAGCTGCGGCTGGTCCATGTAGAGCTCCCCTGAGCCCGAGGCATCTGACACCAGTGTCTGTGGGGTGTGGGCCTGGCCCCAGGAGCGGGGCCTGGGCAGCCCCGTGTGTTGAGGAAGGAAGGCAGGGCCCCCGCTCCCCGGGCATGACCCCACTGCTTCAGCCCCCTGCTGCCTGCTGGCAGCCTAGCCTCGAGAGCCCATCAGGTGAGGAGGGAACCCTGCCTGTCCCACCCCATCCTATCTCCCAGAGGAGGCCTTGCCCCATGTAGGCAGCCTCCAGCCCTCCCACCCTGAGCCACCTCTTGTGGGGTGGCCAGAGCATGCCCAGGGATGTCTCTGTTCAGGGAGGGGTGAGCAGCTGAAGTGACTCCAGTGCTGGGAGTCACTTAATGGCTCTGGCCATTAGCGCAGCTGGGCAGGGTCTGGACAGCACAGGTGGCACCATCATCCATGCAGACTGGTCCATGTGGGAGTGGGGGGCTCAGAGGGCCCAGCTGACCTATGCCATGAACACGGCGCCTGCCTGAAGGGGAGCTGAACAGCAGCTGGGTCGGTGCATTACCTGGCGGGGCAGCAGACTGCACCTGCCCTGGCTGGGGTTCAAGCCCCGGCTGGCCTGGTGGAGTCCCCTCTCTGTGTCTCCCACGCACTGGCCTTGCAGGTGTCAGGGGCCTTGAGGCGGACCTGCAGTCTCCACCACAGCCACAGAGGGTGAGGCCTGTGTCCTCACAGAGGTGATCTTCCACCCCTACCCCTACCCTGTGTGTGGCAGCGGTGTCCCCCGGAGCTGGTGAGACCCCCCCACCTCACTCAGGAAGCCCCTCAGACACCAGGCAGAAGTGGCCACACTCCAGGGCCTGTGTCCACGTGCCCCACAGAGTGCTCTGGCCAGTTGACTGCAGGAACTGAGAAAAGCAAAAAGCAAGCAGGATAGTTCCCTGCTGGACACATTTCTTTTTTTTTTTTTTGAGACGGAGTTTCGCTCTTGTTACCCAGGCTGGAGTGCAATGGCACGATCTCAGCTCACCGCAACCTCCGCCTCCTGGGTTCAGACAATTCTCCTGCCCCAGCCTCCTGAGTAGCTGGGACTACAGGCACGCGCCACCATGCCCAGCTAATTTTTTGTAGTTTTAGTAGAGATGGGGTTTCACCATGTTGACCAGGATGGTCTTGATCTCTTGACTTCGTGATCCACCCGTCTCAGCCTCCCAAAGTGCTGGGATTACAGGCTTGAGCCACCGCGCCCGGCTATGCTGGACACATTTCTATTGCAGATCTTTAATACAGGACTCCAGGGGTAGCCAAAGTCACCTGAGTCCTGGAGACTATGGGCTCGGTCTCTGAAAACAGCCAGCAAGACCGAGATGGGGAATCCAGCAAGATGCAGTGAGCCGAGGTCATAGGTGGGTCCA